TATTTTAACTTAATTAATTTTAAGTATATATATTTTAAATATTTACATTTTTAAACTGAGACATTTATTTAGACTCGCTCCAGATTATATCATATATAATATAATGTATATATATATATATATATATATATATATATATATATATATATATATATATATATATATATATATATATATATATATATATATATATTCAAATGATATTATATATGATAAAGTCTGGGATAATGTGTTTGAGTGTGTGTGTGTGTGTGTATGTATTTATAAAACATAAAAGATATATTTTTGAAAACAATACTTTTTATTTTTTTAGAGTAACAAATAATAAACATGGTTATTAATTGTTCAGTTTACAACTGTAAAAGCAGATTTGATAAAAGAGTAGAGTAACAAATAATAAACATGGTTATTAATTATTCAGTTTACAACTGTAAAAGCAGATTTGATAAAGTAGTTTAACTTCTTTTCACAGATTCCCTTTAAATGATGAAATTTTATGTAAAAAATGGGCAACAGCAACATGTTTACAAATTACACCTAGTAAACATAGTAGAATCTGCAGTAAACATTTTAAATTAGAAGATTTTGAGTGTCAAGAGAATGGGAAACGTGTGCTGAAAAAAAATATTGTGCCTTCAATATTTGACTTTCATGAATTATTGAACAAAATAACAAGCGGAATCAGCTATATAATGATGATACATCACACATTAAAAAAACAATTTGTTCTATCTCGAAAAAGAGGTAACAGAGCTTGAAATTACAAATACTATTAAGGAAAAAATACTTAAACAAAATTCTCCAAAAAAACTATTACTTAGAAAAAAGATTAAAATATTAAAACAAAAGCTTAAACGAAAAGATAAAAAAATTGCTTCACTTAGCAAAGTTATTTAAAACTTGGAGAGAAAAAAAATTATTTCCATTGATGTTGCTGAATTACTTAAGAACAACTTCTCTGGACTGACTAAAGAACTTTTGAAATCTGAATTAAAAATTGAGGCAAAAAAAAAAAAAGGTTATAGATACTCTGAAGAAGTTAAAAAATTTGCTTTAACACTGCACTTTTATTCTCCAAGAGCACATGAATTTGTTAAATCTACATTCTCAATTTGTTAAATCTACATTCTACAGCCACAAGTGTTAGAGATTTATCCCTTAATCTTTTATCTAGACATGAGAATCCTTTTGAATTTATTTTAACATATAAACTGTCACAAGATCTTGTTGAATTATTATTTGCTTGTATTTGAGGCAAAAATGGTTTCAATAACAATCCAGATACACGTCAGTTAAAATCTGCTTTAAAAAGAATTTTATTAAGAAACTCTATCATAGGATCAAAATTTAGCAACTGCCTTACTTTTGACCAAAAATCTTCTGGCTCAATCTTTTTATTAAAGTGGAGTAAAAGGATATCTCCTCTTGTTGAGCAAAATAAATCTAGTGAGGATTCTAACTAATTTAAAGATCTTGCTGGTTGTCTTTCATCAGTCTCTACTTCAATTTATAAAGAAGCTATACTTGGATATATTGCAGAGTTCATTGTAAGAAAACTTTATAGTAAAATTACATGTCTGACTTGTGCCAATAGTTTAATTTCTCCGAAGACTTTATCCACTGATCATGAGTATTCTATATTTTGCAGTTCATCATGGAAAAGTTTTACAACTTTTAAAAATCAAGGTGGTTTAATCTTTCCATCCTGTAGTGTTTGTAAAGATCCTGTAGGTTGTAAAGATTGTTGAAAAATGTGAGCACATTTTTAAAGTTTTAGTGTGTGGGGCAGACCCCCATAGTTTAAAAATATCTTCTAAAAAAAATCTTAAAACCTATCTGGTGCACTTTATAAATCAAAAACTTGCAAATGACGCACTGTTTACTGAACTAAATATGCATGATTTAGAACATGAGATTTTGACTGAAGACATGCATTCTTCACAGCTTTAAAAAAAAAATTATAGAAAAATATTTAACATTGCGTCTACACTCATATGGTCAGCTGTACACTAGAAATGAGTTGCATAAAGGAAAGATTGGATTACGGCAACAGTCCAATAAGCTTGTTTTATTCAAAGGTTTATGAAAAATTACAATAATAATATTCAATATTATTTGTAAGCTATTTATGCCAAAAAATAAAATTAATTCTTTAAAACAAAAATTTTATTATTTCTGAAAATTCCTTAACTGTAACTGTTAACTGTGTGTTACAGTTTTTTGAACTAATTTAAATTTTTTAATTGAAAACCTACATTAAAAATAAAAATTTATACCTATTTATATCAGCAACACTTTTGATTTATTTTCATAATGGAATATGTGTTCTTTTATAACAATAACTAAAAAGTTTCCAACAGGATACTTTTAAGTTACAGTTGTAAAAGTCAAAAACATATTTTTTGCCAACATATATTTATATTTGCCAAGTAAAAATGTAATATTTTTGTATTATATAATAACTTCTAACTTTCTTTATCTACAAACGCTGTTTTTAAATAACAGTTTATAAATAGATGTTTTTAACATTTAAAAAGTTAACATCGCCAAAATGTTTTTTTCTTTGCTTCGGCTACCGGCTTTATAGCCTTCAATAACTTGCTTCATATTTTCTTACGGAATTTAAACGAAGTTAGACATCTAGTTAAATATATATCATTGGATAAAAACTCTGCCACAGTCTCCTGATATTAATATTATTGAAAATTTATGGCATAAACTAACTTAGAAATTGGTAAACATACCATAAATAATGAAAAAGATTTAAAACATGAATTGCTGGAAGAATGGAATAAAATAACCCCAGAATTTACAAACAAATTAGTGGAATCAGTTTCTAATGGACTAGAATTAGTAATTAAGTTGAAAGGAAATCCTACCTGTTATTAATTTTATTTATTTATGATTTTCTTTTGTATTTTTTTGATTGCATCATTTTCACTGTGATGTAGTTTTTGTTTAGTTTAAATTTGTTTAATAAAAAATAATATATTTGTTTGTAAATTTATTTAGTTTTTTCGCATTATTAATATTAAAAGATATGCTCTTTAATATGTAGTTTATTTTCAGAAAGATTATATTTAAGTAATGTTTAATCACGAAAACACGTTTTATATTACCCTGCAACATTTTCACTGTGAGTCACTGGATATATACAGGGCTCAAATTAAGTGATCGCAAATTGCAATATCCGAAAATATCTGTGGTCATTAAGTTCTTAGTTTTTTTAAAAACTGTAAACACTGTTTTAATGAAACGGTCAGTTTATCATATTGCAAAAATTAATGAAAAAGAAAAACAATAAATCTACTACTGCAAAAATAAAAACAGTCAAAATTTACATATTATTAGTTATTGTTTTTTTAAACAATAATTAATAATATGTAATTTAAGGCTTGTAAATAAAAAAAAACTATTATTACTAAAGTCCGAAAAACTTTTGCGGTAATTTAAAAATCAACCAATGAAAAACTATGCTTAAGTTATTTGTGCATTGTATAAAACTTTGTATAAAAAAACAACCAATTAAAAAGTATAGGCTTGGCTTGTTTACATATTAAGAGTGTTTTAAGCTCGTTTTGAACATAAGCTTCTTTATTCGAGCTTGGCTCATTAAGGATTAGTATTGTTTGGGCTCGCTCGTTTTGTATGTTGCTTGAGCTCGACTGGTTTAAAACTCGAAATAATTATTGTAACCTGTTAGTTTAAAGCTCGTCTAGTAAAAAAAATTTTTTTGTTAAAGGCTACTTTTCTGTTTTGCATAATTTGTACACTCTTAAATCCATTAAAAATGGTCTAAAACATATTGGGTCTGTTGGCAAATGACAATAGTCAATAGTAGCCTCACGTAATTAAATTGTTTATAATAATTAATTATTTAGTGTAATAAGAGTTATATGGGTCATATCTCATATGGTTACACTAACACTATTTTTATTATATACTAATATATATATCACACTTTTATTTATTACATATATATTATCATAATATAAATATATATATATATATATATATATATATATATATATATATATATAATATATATATATATATATATATATATATATATATATATATATATATATATATTCGAGCTTTAATCGAGCTTATATGATGTTCAAGCTTGGCTCGTTTAACAAATGAGCCTTTTTTGTTCTAGCTCAGCTCGTTTATTAATTGAGCCGAACATGAACAAGCTCTTGTCGAGCCAATCAACGAGCTGTTCAGGAACACAAGCCAGGATTTACAGCCCTAATGCTAAAGCTACTTGCACATTATATAAAACATTAAAATAGATTTTTATTTAGGGGGAAAGTTTATGAAATTATTTATTTAAAAATTTAAATGTTTTAAATTAGAATTTATTTATTAAGAAAAAAATTATAAAGTATATTTTTTAAAAATATGTTATTAGAGTTTCTTTTTTTTTGTTTTAGTAACTATTAAAAAGTTTAAATTAGTTTTTATATATTAACTCCTACGTCTTAATTTTATATTCGTATCAGCTAAAGCGTTACAAGCATTAAATTTATAAGAAAATAATGAATAAGATTTAAATAAGATATAAAAGTATTTTATATCTTATTTAACAATTTATTTTATTTAAAATATTTGATCACTGTTAAAGTCTTTTAGATTGTTGTAATTAGCGCTTGTTTTTTAATGTTTATAACGTATTTTATTGTGCTTTATTTTTCTAGTTTATCTGATTTTTTATAAAATAAATTAAAATATTTTAAAGTTTAAATTATATTCTTTAATAATAATAAAAATAAAGATCGGAAGCATTTCCAGATATCACAATTCACGATCACTTAGTTCGAGCCCTGATATATATATATATATATACATATATATATATATATATATATATATATATATATATATATATATATATATATATATATATATATATATATATATATATATATATATAAACACACATGAATCAAATTTTAAGTGTTATTGCAATATCTAATTTTTCTCCTCTTATTTAGGGTTACTGTTCATAGCTAGTTCAACTGTTCCTGTTAGCAATGATTTAAATAGTTAAACTTCAGAATCTTATGAATCATAACTTTTGAATCATAAACTAATAGTTTAAAACCAAAAGGGATTAAGTTTGGGATTTACAACAAGCCTAAGCAATTTAATTTAATGGTAAGTTTTCATTTAATATTTTTCAGGTTTTTGTTATTATTTTGATAAATAATTATTTTTCTTGGTAAATTATTTATCTGCGTTTTTTTAATATTTTTTATAATTTTATCTATTGTTTGAAATCTAAAAATCTTTTTTGGTTCTATTAATATTTGATTAATATTATTTGATTATTTTATTTGATAATAATATTTGATATTATTTATTTGATATTAATATTTGATATTATTTATTTGATATTAATATTTGATATTATTTTATTTGATTAATATTAATATTTGATTATTATTTGATAAATTATGATTAATATTTAGTTATACAAAGCATAAATGTTGAATCTAATGTTTATCAGACTAGTTTTCGTAGTATTAGAACCTTAAAAATATTTGGAAACATGAAAAATCCATAGACAAAGTAATAGAAGACTTTTAGGGTTCTAAAACTTAATGTTTAAGCGAAATGCAAGGGAAATTGTGTTTAAAAATATATTTTGGGTAGATATCATAACTGCCATTGCAAAACAAATGACTTATAAATCTGCCAGAATCTAACATATTTTATTTAACATGAAAATGAAAAACCTGACGACGTTAAAAGCCATTGATCAAGCAAAAAAGCAAATAAAATAAAAAGTAAAGGCATTAAAGAAAAAAAACACTTAACTAGAAACTATGAAAAGATATAGCAAATCAAATAATTTTTATTATATTCTAAAAACATTTTGTATTTTGAAAATTTAAATTAATGGTGTTATGACGATTTACATTACCCAGATGTCAAGTGAACACTATTAAAATTAACCCTTTAAGCTTGTTTACAATTTCATATGGAGCATAAATAACATACTTTTTCTTTTATGCTAGGTAAATTAGTACTACTAATACTCACTTTCTAAATAATATGTATTATTATGTCTGCCTACAGCTTTTATGGAAGTGGATATGTATTAATAAAAAATGTACAACTTACCTTGAAATTGCTTTTGATTGTTCTTGTTTTTTTGCAGTCTTCAAATTTGAAATCCGCACGCTTTGTAGTTCCTAATTTGTTTTGTCTCTTAGTTTATGATTAAAAAGTTAAACACCAGGTTTTGAGGTTTAACTTTTAAAATCATTTCTAAGAATGCAACAAGAGTCACAAAAAGGTGACAAGGATTTCAGACTCTAAAATAAAAAATATATATGTATTCATTTTAACATATGTACCTTTTCTATAAGAAATTTAAATAAACAAAAAAATAAATAAAAGCAAAATAACATAAATTAACAAACACATAAAAACATACAATTTAGAAATATAAAAAGTAAGATATTAGGAAATAAAAATTTTAAAACTGACGATTTCAAGTTTAAGGTATCAAATAAAGAATAAAAATGAAACTAAAGTAAGAAGATTAAATTTTTTTAAAGTTTAATATAATACTAATAAAAAATTTTTGTTGCTATTTTGTTAGTGTTAATAAACAATCAAGGAATTGAAATATTTGAAATAGTAATCCACCACAATACACTATATCTGTAACAAATATCATTAACTTTTTCATATCGACAGGTTTATTTGGCAGAAAAGTCGTCAAGACAGTAAAGGCCAAGACCAAGGCAAAGGACTTAAAACCAAGACTGAAAGCTTTAAGACCAAGATATCAAAAATTTAACCCAAAACCAAGACTTTAAAAGTTTTTACAAGACCAAGATCAAGACTTACGTTCTAAGAAGTCTAAAACAACAAGACTCATGCTCACACATGTTTGTATACTATTAGGCCCTTAGTTGGTGTAATATTTTACCATTTACAGATAAATTTTTTATTTCAAAACTTTTTTTGCATTGCTAAAAAAAACTACCAATAAAAAATCTAAGAACATATAGCAGCCATGGTAGTCCAGTAGCCATATTCTTCAGCAAAGTATCAACCAGTCTGGCACATTTTGGTCACATAATTAAATCCCTCTGGTTGAGTACCTGCTCTAATGGTGCAAAAGAAGCTGGATGACAAAAAAGCTTCTTTTAGCAGAGGGTTTATAATATTGTAATATTCGGCAGATGATGGCTTAATTATGCATTTTCTCCATTTGCTTGATGCAAGTAAAACAATTTTTTCCATGAAAGCAGTAACATAGTTGGTGACAAAGGAACAACATTCTTTGAGCATCCTTTCCAAATTTCAACTCAAAATCTCCACGAAAAAGGGTGCTGATGTGTTGATGTGTTAAATTTGCCAACTTTGAGCATCTAATAAACTGTTAGCTGTTTTCAGATGAGTTAGTCCATCCTCAACACACAGCTACAATGAATATGCAAAGCATGCTAACCTTTCAGTTGCATGTTGCTTGATAGCTTTGTTTACAAAGCTATCAAGCAACATGCAACTGAAAGGTTAGCATTGGTAACAACATTCTAGCTTTGTTCTGAGTTGATTTTGCTCAAATGATGTTATATGACTTATCTGCAATTAACTGGCCATTTTGCCTTTCTTTGACTTGATGAAAATCCAAAAGAAAATTTTGGAGCTTGCCTTCAGAAAATTAGTGTCCTGTGCATGCAAAATATGCATTCTTTTATCAGTCCATAAGTCATGGCTATACGCCCAATGGACAATTCTGTTTCTTGAAGGTTTTTCAACAGCTTGATAGATAAGTCTATTTTCCCACTTCGACACCATAGCTTGCATAATCTGAGATTTAATTGCCTTAGAATTATCTAGGAGAACTGCGGAAGGAGGTCAAAGCAATGACCATATTTTTCTAATGATTGAACAACCATTGCTGCACTTTCGTCGCATAATGGAGTCCACAATGTGTATCTGTTTGACCACAATTAATACAGGTGAGATATATTAATGAATCAACAAGAGTAACATCGCAGACTACAATTTCCAACACTTTACTGACAGCAAGATTTCCTTTATCCCACGAAACCACATTAGGATCAATTGAATTACATTCATCACATTCAGAGGAAATTTGTTTCACTGTGTCTCAGTTAATGTGTAATGTCAGTTAATGCTCCCAAAAATTAATTTATATTTTTTAATTTTCCTTTTTTATAAAAAATAGAAAAAAAAATTTCAGTTTTTAATGCAGTAGTATATAAATTTTTAGCTGCCTCATTTTTTCTTCAGGACAATAAAATGAATTAAAAAGAAAATGTAAAAACTTTTTTACATAACAACGTGACATAATTGGCCTTCAGTTACTAACTGTCGTAACTATCATGCAAGCTTAATTTTTGAATGAATGAACTTTTGATCTTTAGCTTGCTTATGTGAGGAAAATAAAAAAACGAAGCGTAAACTTTTTCAGAACATTTTGTTTCTTTTTGATATTCTTTTTGATTTTTAAAATAATAAAAATAAAGATTTCAATAACTTGATAAAAGTTTTATTAAAATCTATTTAAAATAGCACACAGTAAATGTAATTTATTTATATAAACGTAATTATATAAATAAAATAAACATAAGTTTTTAATAAATTATACTTAATTATATATAAAATATATATATATTTTTAAAATGTTTTTGAATTTATAATATGCTTTTAATTCAAAAAAACATTTCATTTTTAAAATATTGTTTACCGCAATCATCTCTTTTTTAATTATCTTTAATTTAGAAGGCGCCTTAAAATCATTTTAAAATTATTAACCTTTAGTAAAAGTTAAATGAACAGGTTTGCTAATATTTAAATCAAAATTTTAAAATTAAATAATTAGTAAATAAGTTTATTAAATGCTTATGTTATTTTTTCAAATAGTTTATTAAATGCTTAACAAATTTGTTTATTAAATGCTTATGTTTTTAATTTAAATACAAGACCTAAAGCTATTTTGTTAACTTTACAAATATTACGTGATTTAATATATTATTTAATGTAAATATTGATTAAAAATGGTTTAAGGTATTTAAACATTTAAACACTAAAATTAAATATACTAAAATATAGTTAATAAATGTTTAAAATACTTTAAACAATTTTCAATAATTATTTACTGTTAGCGTGGTATTTGCAACAAAAGGGTTTGTTAAAGTCTTATGTAAAATAGCTTTCTTATTGAATCTAAAGTAACATCGCCCACCAGTAAATTCATGTATTCAAAAAAAATGCCTTTAAATCAACTCTTTTTAATAGGATACTACTAAACATGATAAACGTAAATGATTATTAAAAATTATTGTTGCAGCACTCGTTTAATTAGGAGAAGAGGAGGGGGTCACAACATCATCTTCCTCTTTCGACGTTGCTGGAAAAATGGGTTTCTCTAATTAAATTTGGGGTTCTTTATTGATTGTGCTTACAAATGATATTACATTCATGCATTGCAACTTTGTATTTTATCCATTTTGTTGGCGCTCATGTGAGTTCGTCTGCAATATTTTTTGTTATCGTTACCCATGTAACATTTAGATTTATGGCATAATCTTCAACCAATTTTCTAAATGCTTGAAGCCTTTGTCAAATTAGCATTTTGCATTGCCCAGCACATTTTACAGGTTTGTCATGATTCAATTCAGAATTTAACCAATTGAATACACTAGAAAAATCAATTTTGATATCACTTGGGTTCCATTTCAATGCGATATTGACACCTTAAATACATGCATTCAATTCAGCTACTTTGATATGCATTGCATCAGACTTTGGCCGGAGTCATGTTGCATTTTTTATTTTTTTGTGACCAAACAAAGCCTATCCACTTCGCGAAACTTCTGTTAATTGATCAAAATAGCATTCTGGGATGTCCTGCCAGACCTCTTCTGCAACAAGCACAAATAGTTTTTTTTTAATTAATAAACTTTGTTGCTAAATATCTCAATTTTGTATTCAAGATATCTCAATTTTGTAACATTAAGATGAAAAAACGTTTTGTAGAACAAAAAAGGTTTTGTAGAACATAAAGTTAATGTAATTTTTTTAGAGCATAAAAGTATATTATTATACAAAGTTAATCACATTATACATTATTTAAAGTATTAATATTATACATTATAACATTACAAAGT